GCCAACAAAGTGAGACGAGTAGTTAGAAAAAGAGGATAGAAGAAGAAAGAGTTAGAGTGTCAGAAAAACAAGATTAAAAACAGAATGACTGGACGTGGCATTTTAAAGAGTAGGCTGTTGGAACTGCCGCAGAGAGGTCATAATTTAGACAGATTAGTTTAAGATTTTGATATCCTAATGCTGCGGGATGTCATCACGGGCGCATTGAAGAATCCCGGTTATGAATAGCAGTTGCATCAATCCTCCAGGGCAAGAGAAACATGGGCAAGCCATACTAAAAGGGATGGAATTTAACATTCGGTTTTTGATACAAATCAACTGAACTATGACAGTAAGTGGCTGCAATGGATACAAACAGAGGTTTTGAACAACATATAAACATCATGGCACACGGGTTAGTAACCCATAGTTGCTCCGTTCTTCTAACTGGTCCGAGTCCAAAAAAGCTAAGCATAGAGCACAGGCGAGGATCCTAAAATACTTTAGGTAGATTTTTAACTCCAAATTTTGCCCGGGCAGCGCCGTTAAGCTACTCTTTTCGATTTCCAACTGCCAAGGGATTTGTTAAGAGCGCATCAATGCACACCGGCGTCTGATCTCACTACCCATAGACCATGGGAAATTAACAGAAGTCTACATGAAAAAAACAAAATACTTTGGTTAGATTTTTAACTCCAAATTTTGCCCGGGCAGCACCGTTAAGCTACTCTTTTCGATTTCCAACTGCCAAGAGATTTGTTAAGTGCGCAAAAATGCACACGGGCGTCTGATCTTGCAAATTGCAGAACCAAACACTGTATGGGGTGTACTTAGTGATCATATAAGTGATCACTTGCCGCGCCCTGTCGTGCTGTCTAAACTGGGCAAGACCAGAGAAAGGAAGATGCGCAAAGTCGTCACATATGACAAGACAGGATCAGTGGGTGCATTAGCCAGAAAGCATAGTCAAGGGCTACCAGTAGCAAATGTGTTCAGCCGCCATGGTGGACCCCAGAGAACTGAAGTAAGCGCGGACGGGGGGGGGGGGGGGGGGGAAAGGCGATTGTAAAAGAATGGCAATGAGTAAGAAAGTTACCTTCAAGCTCACACGAGATAAGACGACACGAAGAACCACTTTTAAAAAATCCACGTGTGGGTTCCAGGTCCCCATTGTGGGAAAAAAACAAGAATAGACCCACTGCCTCCGCATCAAGCATGTCGTAAAAGTAAATTAATTTGAAGTTTCCTTTGAAGTCTGAATGCACTTGCCTGAGAGGCGAGGCAAGGACCCAACGGTTTGTGTACAAATAAGCCAGATTCCTTACAACTGATATACACGCAACACTCAGGTTCTGAAACAAGTCTAAAGTCCAGAGGTGGGTGAACGACCAGAACTTTTCCCTTGAGTTTACAGCAGGTTAACGCGAAGAAGAAGACATACAAAAAAGGAATAAAGATTTATTTACACGTTATAACAGGCACACAGAAGACCACCCCTCCCCCTTTTCCCGACGAGATAACTGGAGGAAGTAAAGAGACGTCATTGGGAATATTCAAAAAAAAAAAAAAAAAATTAAACAAAGGGTCGTTAAAACGAGGTTTGAAGACATTTCTGAATCAAATCACATCTCACAGAAGAGACGCAATGAAGAGACACAGCTCGGTGTCAGATGATGTTTGGGGTGAAGGAGAGAAAACGTGAAAGAGGAGAATCCCGTTGTCTGTAAGTGGTACGGGAATGTGAACATGAGAATCGCTCACAGATCGCATCATTCATACATGCTGTACCTAGGACCGCTACATAGGGATATGTATTTAACTACAAGGTTTCCCGTGTTTGTTTCCGAGGTCCCATTGTGGGGTGAACAAAAATAGAGCCACTGCCTCCTCAACAAGCATGCCATAAGAGTCGACTAATTAAGGGGTTCCTTTAAAGTCGGGAGTGCATCTGCCTGAGAGGCAAACAACCAACAGTCTCCATAGAAATAATGAGGATCTGTAAGACGCAAAACTCGGGTCCAGGACCAACAACAGACTGCACAAAATACTTTGTACCAGGGGTGTCGCAACCTGGCGGCTTAGGTACCATGCACCCACTAAACGAAATTGGGAAAGAGGGGGGGGGGGGGGGGGAAAGGAGGGGAGGAGGTTCAGCGCACGGCCTTAAATTGGTAAGGGAGGTAAGATGGCCCCCCATTGTTCCACGTCCTTTTAAGGATGCAATTTTTTGTTATTTGAAGCCCCACCCTGGCTTTTGCCAGGGGCCGCAATATAGGCAGGCCATTATTAATATGGCCAATTGTCTGAACGCGGTTTCTGGGACCTCTCAACGGTGATCCTCATCCACATGGTGGCACTTTGTGTCAATGGGTGTTTATCGCTTGTGTGATGTCCTGGTGGGGTAGAAAGTCAGTCAGTCAGATGGCCCCCACCCCCTTTTCCCCCATAACCATGTATAGTTATCTTTTTTAGTTTATGTTTATCCACATCATTTTGTTTCAAATATATTATATATATATATGTGCCATTCCACACACTAGTTTTATTATTAAGCTTTTCAATAAGGTCTAGGCTCTTTGAGGCTCCCCAAGAAAATGTCTAGAGATGTACGGGCAAGGTTAAACTAAGCGTGTATCTGACTGGTACAGTCTAATATACTTATTATGTAAACAAATAAACTAATTACACATAGGCTACATTTTTTGGAGAAGAAATAAAATTGCTTAGTATTTCGATTTTCTTTGATTAGCCTAATCATTTAAACAGAGACAAGCCAACAAGCAAGGATTCTTTGTAGCAGCTGTATGTCATTAACAAGCTTGAATATCTGGCTTAGTGCTAATGTAGTTATTGTTGGTAAGTACACACTAATTAGCCTAGGCCTGCATTACTTTTACGCTGCCTTAATAAAACTCACAAAAGTAGAACTTACTTTCCTTCTCTTCCTCTTCTTCTGTTTTCTAAAATAAGTTGTCTACATCAGCAGTTTTGTCTCGTTTAAATCCGTAGAGTTCACGTCCCACTGTTGTTCTTTCTGGCCAAAAGGTTTGCCTTAATGTGTCATATTCAGTGCCGTCCTGCAGTTTGTATTCTGGTTAGTGTCATTACATAAACTGATACTGGATGTTGAAGAATACATTTTTGGTCTGACATGAACGCCCACGTAAGATGACAAAGCATTTGATGATGGTGATCCCATTTCACCATACAAAGCATACATGGAAAGAGAAGAAGGACGTAGAGCACGGGGTAGACCAAGAACAATATGGAAGGATAACATCAGAGAAACTCTACAACAGCATGATGTGCCTATCGTCGAGGCAGCCAGAAGAGCTAGAAACAGAACCTTATATCTCCATCGACACCCACAGCGGTAAAAGAGGAAGTGAAGAAGAAGTGAAGAAGAAGATCCCATTTTATCTGCATTTTACCTTCCAAATGGAGCATAGAGTCTCAATCAACTCCCATTCAGCCTTTTTATCGTTTGCAGTCTCCAAAACCCTTTCACTATGTCTATATTATATTTATGATTTTGTTTAAAATTATTATTTCCACGTTGACGATATTTATTTTCAAATTCCAACCAAAATGTAAAAATAGAAGTACAAAGAGATGTATGCTTTGAGAAATATATTATGTAATTTACAGTGGGAACAAACTGGGAATATGTTGAATAAATGGAATGATGCAATGACATTGTTTAACCTTGCTTTTTTTCTTCCTATTTCATAAATTTTTTTGGTCTGTAATTTTGATCTTCTCTCCAGTTCTATCTTATATATCGTCTTAAGTGTCTTGTTGTTTTGAAGCTCTGAAACAGACAGGGTTGCATGAGAATCCATGCAATCTTCTTGAGTTCATCAGCCTTTCAGTTGCTGCTTTTGCTCTTTAGTGGGCGCAAGCTTCATATACAGCTGCTAGGCGTGTCCCTGTGATGCTGTTAAGGCATGTATTCTCGATCCTTCCACCCACTTAACCCCCCCCCCCCTCGTTTTTTTTGGGTGCGCATGGCTTCTTTACTATATGTAAACACATGTGCCCAAATTTTGGAAGGATAATTATTTATGAGTATATAAAGTGAAAGAGCTATTTGCTCTGGCTCAGTTTGTTCCTCTGGAAGATTATTCCGGGGGACCTCCATAATGGCACTGAATACATAGGAAATTTAATCCATGGTCCTGATTGTGAGATCTTCACACATTGTTAGGTCAGTTTTTATGTTTACATGATGTGTTTGTCCTGCAAGATATGCACACTTTCCTCAACGGCAGGGTGGGAAAGCGCAAGCGTGCCGCTACGAAGAAAACATTGGGATGGCTGCTGCATCGGAAGACAGAGCACGCATGGGAATGTCCAGTGTGTAGTGACGTCAATTGTGATAAAAAAATCTTTATGTCCACCTCATATTATTTATAATCCTCTGATTCTTTTCCCCATTCTCAGTTGAAACAATAATTGCGTGCCTATTATTTTTTCTAGCTGTTTGTGATTTCACTATGCAACTGTACGCTCAGTAGTTTGCCATTTCAACTGAACAGTCGTCTCTGGATACTGTTAACACACAAGCAGGGCAGGCTGCTGCCAAATCGCCCGCAGCTGGGGTCGATAATGCCAACCATCCATTTATGAAAAACAAACAATTTACTATATTCACGGAAATACGAAGAGCGTTCAACTTCTTTTTCCAAAACCCAACCAACCATGACAAAACAGTCTAAAAATAACCAATTGCATAATTTAAACATATATTCGAAGACAAATCGACTTTTTTTCGTATGTAAAATTAAACATGTATATAAACATATTATTCATATTTAAAACTATATTCTATAACAAACAAACGTAAAACAACAAATAATAATTATAAAACATAGTATAAATACAACACACGTGGGTCTAAAATACGTGAATGCGGCTGCGAATTCAAAACGAACTTCACATCAAATCGCAGACAGTCTTTCCCATTCCTTTCAGTTCAGTTCTTGGCGAGGAGGAGATCAGTCCAACTTTCAAAATCTAAAATGGGCAAGAATAAGTCAAAGAAGCAGAAGGTAAAGTATACATATTGTAGTACATGTATTCTAGAACGTTTATATTTATACGTTTTCGAAATATCTTCAATTAAATTGCCGTGTAGGTTTAAATTAAAATCCCGCCTGCTGTCACAATGTTTTTCGCCCATGTGTTGCCTGCTTTGGCAGGAGCACGTGGTCTGCTCGCATAACTTAAATGTATTATTGTTTTTATTTTGTTTGCTATATTGTTTTTATTATAGAGTGGCATTTCAAAAGTAATTCCTTTTTGAGGTTTCTTTATCATTTGCTTATAATTTTATCATTTCGTTTTGTTTTGGTGTTTAATTATTGGAAAGTTAATGTGATTGCACCACGCGGTGAAAATTCTTGCCTCAAACAATTTGCCGCTTAATTTTACTGTTTACACCTTACGCAATCATATCACTTATAGTAAAATTAATATGACATGATTGTACCTTGAGTAGAATTTAATGTGTATGAATTCAAATATTGCTTGCTGACCGTAAAAAACTGTAATGCTATCATGACAAAATTGATTAGCAAAGAAAACCGATAAAGCCATGTGGTTTCATAACCAGTGAGCTGGCATACGCGATTTTTCAACACAAGTATTTTTTTGCTATTAAAAATAAATTATATATATATTTATATAAGCCTTTCAGTGCTTTTTAAATAATTTTGACGCTTGTCTTATTAATTCCATCGCCTACCTAGGTGGTAGGGTGTCCGGAGCAGGTCTCCAGAGTAAAGGCGGAAATTTTTATCTAGTCTTTACTGAGTCTTTAGACAATGCTAGCTTAATAAATATACTGGTTTGAGTGGATTATAGGATTTCTTTCAGGGATGAGAATCTTAATAGAATGCCACAAAAGCTGATTTACTGTTCGCTGAACTAACATGCAGGCGACTAGTTTCCTTTGAAGTCGAGCCTGGGATGAATAACTATAGTAAGAAGCGAATAAATGCAAAATTAGGCATTCTGACGTAGGTTTAAAAAAAAACCCATGTTTGTTTGATGCTCCAAAGCACCTTACATGGGAAATGGTCATAGCGTACAGGTAATTTCCAGGTCTGCAGGGTACCTATACTGTTGGCCTTTAAAACATAGACCATGATGAACGTTTAGTAATGAGTTTGATATAATCAGGACAACACAATTAGTTGGGTCATTTACCTAGCACCAATGTTTTTACATTATTGGGAGCGTCTCTTTAGGGGGAGATGCTCATGTTCTGCTTGGCTGATCATTAGATGGAATCTCTAGACTGGCTTGATGTAGGCACCACTTGTGACATGGGTAACAAAGATGACTACACAATACTGAAACTTCATTGTATAGTGAAACTAACCGGAGAGGCTAATCAACAAAAGCCTGCAGTCAGGACTGTTGGGACTAAAAGTGCAGCCATGCCGTAGATATAACACACCACCTTACAACACAGTAGCTTGATCTCAGATCAAGCTGAGATAAAAACCAGTGTTGTAAATTTGAGCAGCCAGAGATCCTTTGCCATGTGGTAATTAGTCACACAAGTATATCAACCCCTTCCTTGTTTTTTTTTTCATTTGTAGCAGGTTGAATCCCCAGCCAAAGGTAAAAAAGCAGCACCAGTACAGCCTGTGCAGGAAGATAGTGAGGATGAGTCATCAGAGGAGGAGGTAATCATACATTTTAACTAAGAATTCAAGTGGTAGATAATTATCAGGTAGCTTTGATTAATTTTTAAAATGCCCTCTACACCAATAAAACCAGCACAGTTAGATAGCTGTAAACAATCTCTTTCCAATGGTACCTCATTTAGGCTTGTATGTCATTTCTGAGCTGAGATATGTAGGTTTTTGTGGAGATGTGTAAGAAACAGCCGCTAAAACTTGTGAACCAGAAACCTACTGCGCAGTTCTGTATCGGCTTTGTTGACATTGGACTGTCATTGGACAAGATGGCAGGCAATGAGACTCACTCAGCCGCATGCGATTGCCTAAAAAATGTCACTGTAAATCTAAACAGCCAAAAACAGGAAAGAAATGTAATGTTTTAGGCCAAAGCCAACCTTGAATTTACCGCTATTTTCAATCAAACTGATAGACTAACAGAAAAACAGGACGTCCGTCTTAGACATGCGCTGTTAATCGAGTTCCTTCCCACCGTTTTCAGCTATTTAGAGTGGGTGAAAATCTCATTTCATGAGAGATTAGGACCCATCCCGAAATCCCAGCCATTTCCAAAACAAGTTTCAAACGGTTTCTATGGTAATGGAAATTGTCGAAAAGATCGTAAATTTCCAAAAACTGTAGTCGCTACAGTGATTAAAAATGCTACATTTTTGTAAATAGGAATTATAATTCCTAGTGGCCCGAGCCTAGAAAGATAATTTAATTCATAGACTGAATGTGGCTTCAGGCTGCCACTGAGATAGCCATGATTTAAGATTTTTGTGTGCCTAAAATCTGCTGTTGCATCTTTTATATATGCATTTCTAATTATTTATTGTCCACCCTAAAGGTACAGGTGCAGGCAAAGCCACAGAAACAGGCTAAGCCTGTAAAGAAACAGAGCAGCAGTGAAGAAGACAGTAGTGAAGAGGAGGCACCAGGTGAGCATGAAGATAATTTACCTCATTTCAAGTGTTGTTAGTCTATTTTCCAGCTCATTAGTGTTTATTTACAGATGCATTTAGGGCAAGCCTTTTCGTCTGTAATTAATTTAACAGTACTATTCTGTGATATTAGTATTATGAAGTGTGTGCAAGAATTGCCATAAACATATACCTGTTGTAAAAGTCTACATAGCCACTCTGCAATCAGGTTTCCAACCTGGCCAACAAATAAGGATCTACATTTTATTGCTAATTAGGGGTGTAGCGAGGAAGCAGCAGTCATTCTGTAAAACACTGCACGCAAGTCCTTGACTATTGAACTAGTTTATAACATGTGGTAACAAAGGACTATTTAAAAGCAGTTGTACACATTTTTAGCAATGTTTGACATTTTGTCATGTAACTATTTCAGCCAAGCCAGCAGTCAAATCACAGAAAAAGGGAGCAGCAAAGAAACCAGCTAAAGAAGAGAGCTCATCAGAAGAGGAAGATGATGATGAGGAAGAGATGGAAGTAGAAGCAAAACCAGTCAAACAGAATGCTAAAGCTGGGAAAAAGCAAGGTAGACATTCTTTCAGCTGTCTATAGAGCATTTCAGTTTATGCCATTGGCTCTGAAACCCCTGGCGTGAGGTGAAAATACACCTGACCACTTAAAGAATACCATAATTATAGTCAGATTGCAAGCTGGTCAGTAATTGCAAAAAAGCAGATTAACCAACTGTTGCAGCTCTAATTAAATGCACACATCCCTGACTTTTTGTTTTAAATATACATATGTATATATATATATATATCTGTAATATATAATATAAATATACATATGTATATATATATATATAATATAATATATAGTATAAATAATATATAAATATACATATGTATATATATATATATAACTGACATCATTTTTGGCCATGTTATGAGAAGAGGGAAAATAGAACATGTTGTGACCACTGGAAAGATCTGTGGAAGGAGGGATAGAGGAAGACAATAAGAGAAGATGCTTGACAGTCTTGGTGCATGGCATGGAGGTGATACATGCTGCAGGAGATCGCGGATTATGGAGAGGTATGATCTCCCACGCCAGTCGGCAAGGCACCTGATGATGATGATGATATATATATATATATCTTTCTGGTAACTTTGTTTTATTTAGTTTCAGTACTTTGAACAGTAAACATTTTTAGACTTGTCAGAATTAGGAACACACAATTTAAAAAAGACAAGTCTATATTTAAGCACATATCTTGTCATTGTTATATAGCTAACAAATTTTTTCTTCTTTTGTTTTTATAGCTGCACAGCCAGTAAAGACACCTACAAAAAATGCCAAAAAAGAGGAAAGTTCAGAGGAAGACAGTGAAGAGGAAGAAAGTGAAGAGGAGGTGAAACCAACTAAACCAGCTAAGCAGGCAGCAAAACAGCCAGGTAAGCATTGTTTGTAGCAAACTTGCAGTAGCAGAGGCGCTCTGTAAGAAGTCTCTTGTGTCTATAAAGAATTGCTAAAGAAAGCAGAATATGCACAGGACATTTGTAGAGCAGATATACATATGTTTAGAATTTGCTTCCATCTATGCAAATGGGGCGTCTACAGGATTGGCCAAACTGCAAGAAAAAGCTTGGGGAACTGGTGGAGATGCACCTTCCCTGTTTAGTGGTATATTGTTTTGCAGACAACTTGACTTGGGGCTTAATTCATAAAGGTTTAGTCATATATACCTGTTTTTGTGTGTGTGTGTACCTAATTTCAAAATGTTACTGCCATACTCATTTATTTTCGTTTTACTTAATTTCAGCTAAAGGAAGCGATGATGATGAAGAGGAAGAAGATTCCAGTGGTAAGCCCTTATTTGCTATGCACTTCACAATTAGTTTTTAAGTTTATGGCTTCATACTGTCTTTGTAATATTTTTTAAATCTCAAATTGCATGATGAAGCATATACCGCCCCAGTCTGATTGTATCTTGACTGAATGGTTCATGTTCTGATGTAACATTTAAGTCATTGTAGGCGTAAAGATTAAGCGGCTGTCTTAACGCTTACTAGCTGTAATGTTCTAGTTGTTCATCCACTTTAGACTTGTTCCAGAACCTAAGTCAGCTTGGAACCATTTTCAATTTAAGCCAACTAAAACATTTTATGTGGACAGGGTACTTTTTCCCTTACCAGAAACTAGGGACTGTCCCTTTAAATGTACTACATCCTCACTTAAACAAGTTTTAGGTAGGTTTGCTCTGTACAGTTTAAACTGTTTACTTATACCTTCAGTAGTGTTGTGTGAAGCTTAAACGTTAAAATATTTATTTCCTTAGATGAGGAAGATGACAGTGAAGAGGAGGCAAAACCAACTAAGAGGAAAACAGATAACAAAGAAGGACCAGCAGCAAAGAAGCAAAAGAAAAGTGAAGGTATTTTTGCATATAGCTCTTTATATAAGCCTTGATAATTATGACACATTGAATGGTTTTCAATTTTTTTTGGGTGAGTTGTATTCAGTTAGTCATAGGTGAGGAGGTCATAGGTAATGCTCTATTTGTTGCAGTTAAAATGTTGAATGTGCATACGTAGAATACCTCACATGATGAAGCATATACCGCCCCAGTCTGATAGTATCGTGACTGAATGGTTCATGTTCTGATGTAGCAATTTTAAGCGGCTAGTCTATTGCTTTTTTTTTTCAAATTCTGGTTGGTCTAGAACAAGTGATTTATTTGTATGCATACTGTTGGTTACTTAGGCAGTCTTCCATGCTTGCTGGAGAGGCAGTGGTCTATTTTCCCCACAAAGGGACCTCTAGAACACACATGGGGTGCACTGTCTGTCTTGTTGTGATTCATGTTACAGTAGATACATAACAATCATGTTGTATTTCAGTATTGAGCTCTGAAGATTTATTAATGTTTCAGGTGTAAATGGAAGCGAACCAGTCACCTTGTTTGTTGGAAATTTGAACAAGAACACATCAGAAGAGGATGTTTCAAATTTCTTCACTGAAAACAGCATCGGTGTAGCAGCTGTACGCATACCACCAAATAAGAAGTAAGTGTTCATAGGTTATGTCCTGACAAAATGTTCTTATGCAAATTACCAGCTCTTGATTGCCATGGTAGATTCAGTATTACAAAATATGGATGACATCAATAGTTCATTGTCTTCTGTATTAGGTGCAGTATTGGGGGGGGGGGGTGATAGTATTTATTATACCATTTGGTTACTACTGTATATTAGGATGTATTAGAGGAAATGAGAGCCCTGATATTTGTGTATACAGTAAATGTCATGTGCCATAAAATTATACACCATCTAATTTCAGCAATGCCTTCGTAGACCTGGAAGATGCTAATGATCTAGAGAGTGCCTTGGCACTGAATGGCAGCAGCCTCCAGAAGAACACAATCACAGTTGCAAAGGCAAAGGCAAGAATCCAGAACAATCAGTCTTTTAGTTCACCCGGTGACGGGTTCAACAAAGGAGAGGATGACAGTATGTAACTATTTGCTACTTATTTACCCAATCATATATAGCTAAACAGATGAGGTTCACAAAACAGTTACTATCTTATATCTTAAGGCAATCCAGACATGCTTGCAAAAAAAAAAAACTTATAAAACACATGACTCATAGAACATTACAACCTGTGGTTCTCAATTTATAGCTTGAAGCATCTTTATGTAGTGCTTTATCAGTCTGCATCACTGTACATTGCGCTTACCATGTATGTTGAGTCCTGCAATGCAGCTGCCACTTATTGTATTTTATTAGAAGTCTGAAGCTTTCTTTTCATAAAACCACTAGATTATGTGAATATCCATTTATATTTACTTTTTTTTTTTTACTGAATAAGTTTTTAATCTGTTTCTCCCTCTTACTTCAGAGGACAGCCGTACTCTGTTCGTGAAAAATATTCCAGAAGACGCAACAGTCGACAGCTTAAGTGCCATTTTTGATACAGCCTCTGATGTCAGACTCCCATCGAGAGATGGTGTTCACAAGGGGTATTTATTTTTGTCTGTTTTGTTAAAACTGTATTGCCTTGAAAATTCCTGTATATAAAAATCGCTAGTGAACATAGGTGCTGGGTTTGTTGAATTTGCTGACAAACAAACATGTGAGGCGGCAATGTCAGAGAAACAGGGAGCAGATTTAAATGGCAGTTCAATATATCTGGACTACGTCGGCGCCAAAAGTTCATTCAAGAGGGGTGGACAACAAGGTGGCAGAGGAAACGACAGGAGAGGCGGCAGAGGAGGGTTTGGAGGTGACAGACAGAACAACTCAAGTAAGTTCTTCAAAATGTTTCATCTTGTAAAAGACAGTATTCTGTGCAAACACAGAAATGTGGCATGAATCATTTGTTTCATTACAAGTTTTGGGTCTGGCAAATGGTTAAAACACATGAATCTTAAGTTGAATGACAAGTACGGGCGAATCTTTTTATACCTTATACCTTGGTTGTAAGGGCATTATTATATGTAGACAGCGTGTCTGCTGGGGTCCGTCTTCGAGTTGTGTATAGTTTACATTAAAACGGATAAACTTCAATGCACAAAGATAGTAACCTATAAGTGCTCTGTACTGCTTCTGATTCGAGTCTGAAAAATCTCAAAGCAGTGCACAAACACTGGTTAAGTCCGGAGAGCAGTTAGGCTAATTTTTTTTTTAAATCAGATTTTTTGTGTCACCATACCATATAGGCTTCTGCACAGAGACAAGGGGAATATTACTGGGGCCTGAACAATAGGAGTAAAGCAGTGGTCAACTATTTAGCTTAGAAAACAATCACAACTATTTAGCTTAGTAACACCCGTTACCTAATTTTGTCATCAGATTTGAGGGGAGAGTCCAAGGTCTTGTTTGTGAAGAACCTCAGTTACGACACAGATGAATCCTCACTGAGATCTGTCTTTGATGGAGCCGTTTCAGCCAGAATTCCAACCTTCCCAGACTCCGGAAAACCCAAGGGGTAAGTGTAAATTTATAATAACCAGCACCCAGCACCAGCAAGTTTTACGGATAATTCATCTGTCTTAAATTTGGAAAAAAAATAGCATTTGGTGGGCAGAAATAATGTGGACACCATAGACGGATGAAAGGACAGTAGCAGAGGGCATGGTACATGGATGAGTGCAGAAATTGAAAACATGAAAAGGGACATTCAGCTGTGATACATGTTATATTAAAGGCAGCTAGAATTATAATTTTTTAGTACAGTATTTTTTGTTAGCACCTTTAGGCACATGTACGATGCATTTAACAAGTTGCTTTGAGCGACTTGCACAAGTCGTGTATTGTAGACCAGCTGCTTTGTTTGTCGTAACCCTGTATTACTAGTTTAATTATGAATCCATCTTTCTGCTTCCAGATTTGCTTTTGTGGACTTCAGTTCGGCTGAGGCAGCTGCAGATGCATTTGATTCCATGAATGGACAGTCTATTGATGGACGACAGGTCATGCTAGACTTTGCTGCAGACAAAGGCAGCGGTGGTGGTGGATTTAGCCGAGGTGGTGGTGGCGGTGGTTTTGGAAGAGGTGGTGGTGGTTTCGGCAGGGGAAGAGGTATGTAACATTTGCCATTATTAAGTAAATAACCATGAAAATCACCTGTCCTTAAATCTTGACCAGTATTTACCCATATAAAGCATTGAATTCAGTAGATATAATTATTTATTTGAGGTTTAACATGTCTCACCCAAACTAGTGTAATTATTGTTTCATTTTTACACAATCTGTCCAGTGAATAAATGTAAAGCGGACTAATTAGAAAAAAAACCTCAAATCCTTTTTTCAGGTGGTGGTGGCGGCGGCTTTGGAGGACGGGGACGTGGTGGTGATCGTGGGCGAGGTGGCGGCCGTGGAGGCGGCAGAGGTGGTGGTTTCAACAAAGGTAATTAACCAGAGCTTTGCTGGTTCAGCCCTTAATGTGAGATATTTACATTTCTTCTAAACTTATTTTGTATATTTGTCATGGTATTGTGTATTCATATAAGGAAGGCTCAGCATTTTTTTATGTCTGTGAGCCTGTCATTGTGTGGGGGTAATGCTAGTGGTATATTAATTCTTGGTCTTAAAATTATTGCATAGAAAAATTTAAAAGAACACGGTCTGTTGATAGCAGTAACAAGATTTCTTCGGCTTTTGTTACTTGACCTCATTCCTACTGTCGTAAAGTGGGGTTCGTTAACAACAATCATTGATAGCCGTGGATCTCTTATGCTATCTGCCTTGCCAACTGGTGTGGATGATCATGCCTCTCTGCGATCTGCAACTATCAACTCTGTGCTGATACCCCATGTATACCATTACAAGTGCCTTTTATGATGGCTTTCTCCGCCTGTCTTTCCAATGTTCATATTCCATTTTCCCTCTTCTCATAATGTGACAACAATGTTGTTTAAGTTGTCTTTGAACTCAAGCCTGGGCTTGTCCTGGGAATTTAAGGTTTCTTCTGTAAAACATTTGGAGGCCTCAAGTCTGTGATGGTTCTACTGGAAGACCACAAGATAAATAAATGGTGTAGCCAAAACCTGCAAATCCATACCCTAGCCGCCCGAGAAGCGCAGAAGACAAAAAACCATGACACTGGGCTCCAGCCTGGTATCAGTAAAATAACAAATTATTCTAGTATGTTCATTTTCTGGGAAACATGATTGTATAAGATATTGCAATGAGTTCTTAAAATAAATGTATTACCGTATAGTATACACCAACTACTGTGGCAGTTGTTTTACACAAGTGGCAGAGATGCCTTGGCATATGGAACAGTGCGTCACAGCTTAAACCACAAATTGTTCTATGCCATAGATGTCCTTTTATACTTACCTTAGTTTTATTGCATACGTTTTTCGCTTTAACTAATTTTTTGTTTTTAAACTTTGCAGCTAGAGGAGGAATAGTCCAGTCCGAAGGCAAGAAGACCACTTTTAATGATTCTGATTAAACAAGGATGCTCCTGTCAGTTGTAAAATGTGATGTGATTGTTTTATATTTCACAATGTTGGGAGGGGTGGGTGGGTAAACCAACTTTCACATAATGTTCTGCAAGGATGTAGGGGTTTTCTTTGTTGTCAAATGTACAGTTAATTTTAGTATACATTGTTGCTGTCATCTTCATCGTTGGCTGAGTTAGCTTTTTACAGATTTTATTGGATGCTGAAGTACTGAACTGTTTTAGTGACATGAATACATTAAACAAACATTACTAGATGCTTTTTTGCTTGTTTTAAATTCCCGTCTGTTTATGTAACTAGTATATGTACTTAAAATATTCTAAGGAAATTAGTGTACACTGGTAGACGGGCAGAAATGTGCGTAAATCAAGTGGTCATCGCATTGGGGTACTGTCTTCAAACTCCACCCGGGATCTGAACAAGATGGCTGCACTAACTCCAGTGGGTGCCATCCTACTTTTATACCAGAGAACTGCGGATAAACTTGCTAAGCAGGGGGAAGAATATGAACAGGAAAAGAATGCAGTAACATACTATGAGAATAGGGCCGTCCTAGTCTGTCAGAAATGCTATCAGTCTAGCCAGAGATAACTACCGTTTGACCGGGATGGAAGTCACCACTTAGCAAGCATATGCATAGACTACGTCTAAGTAGTTTGCTGTGTTCTGTAAGAATGTCCATTGTGAATAAAATATGGCCAGATAAATCAACACTACACTCATTAGAGTAGTAAACTAAAAGGGGACCTCACAAAGAAACGCACAGAAAAGAAAACGCCTCGTGGAGGCACCGCGAGATGTAGAGTACTTCCAGGGCAATTATTGGTCACTTTGTACAGCTGATGAGCCATGTTTCTTCAAAACTAAAAGAACATTTAAACATTGTGCAAATTGCACGACTAATATACTAACGGTGAATAAAGGCTGCGGGAAGAGCGACATTGTTTTAGAACCATATTGAAACTAACAGGAATAGGCGCTCAGATTCCCCTCATCAGTCGTGTGGTTAATAGTACCAGTCCTGGGTTGATAAACAGGATTTCTTGTGGGTCCGGTGTGCTGCGCATGCCCGGCTTTACTCCCAATTCGCATGTTCTTAGCAATGTGGGAAACGTTGCTTCCAAAATCCTCAGAACGACCTATCTCTAAGGACAATGCCTGCGTGATCCATGGGTGGGCTATCTTCAATTAATGCAGCACCTGCCCGTCTATCAGTTATATTACCAACGCCTGCACACCCTTGGACAAACATTAGAGTAACTGCACACACAGGAGAATCAAGCCACTCTGCGTAACCAGCCTGCCTTGACCCGCCTGTTCATACTCAAAGAATCACGCACACACTCACGGAAATAGTCCTGTAATCTAAGCCACAGGAAAGCTTGTTACCTTAATCGTCATGCTGCTGGCTTCCTGAACTGTTCTGCATGAAAAGCCAGCTGAAAATGTCAGAAAAAGTATATACTGTAACGACCTCCAACTTTACAAACTGACATAAGCTTTCATGATGACACTGTAAAAATCGCATTAGACAATCTCCTGAGAACCCATTGAGTAACAATTTGGAAGTGACGTGTTCTTTTCTAGCACTATGAGTGCCGACTGGCGGGCTCTGCTGTACTAACTAGATACTGTATCTTTGATCTATATATTATGGGGGGCTTTTGTGAACAGTGTAGATATAGGGTCTGAAGAGAATGGCGCTGCGAGGAGTTACCAGGGACCTGGCCGACGCTTGCTCAGGGAAAGGGCGAGATGGAGATAACAATCAAACGGTTTCTGGTGCTTCTATGTCGATTTTCAATTCAGCATTCCCAATGACGCTCGGTGAGTTATGTAATTATTATAACGACCGCATCCCCCCCCCGAGCTTTAACTTGTTATTGATCTAAGGCTGAGCCGCTTGGGATCGAATGTAGGTAAAAAAAAATGTCGGTCACAGCTCTTTCTGTCACGTTCCATACCTTGATCTTGCAAGTGTTATGTTTTGGTGCCAAGTATTTTATTCCTTTAAACGCCGGCTTGATATCGTGATCTTAAGAGTCATAAATCGGACACAAACAGCTGGAAGCGACCTGTTCCGTAAGTCATCTCTGGACTAATATCCAGTTTCGTCCTTTTCAGGACGAAATTTTTTGTCATTTGAAGCCCTACTCTGGCTTTTGCCAGGGGCCGCAATATAGGCAGGCCATAAATATGGCCAAATGTCTGAACGCGGTTTCTGGGACCTCTCCACGGCGATCCTCATCCGCATGGTGGCACTTTGTGTCAGTCTCTGGACTTGAATGGGCAATACTTCTCAGCAACACGAGATTCTGTTTGCTTGTTACCCGGTCACGCTGGTTTCACACACAAACACACACACACGCAGTCAGAATGGTTACATGTATAATAATGGTTATGACGTGTGTTGAACTTTTCTTCACAGGAAAGTGCAGAGCCCTGCCATCTATCCACAATGGAGTCTTGTCTGTCTCTCTATCTCTCTCTCTTTGTAGGGTAGGACAGGCGTGCGTGCCCAATTTGTAACCATTTGAAATAAAGTTATCTCCCTCAACCAGACTGACTTTTCCTCTCCATATTGTTAAGTGAAAATTTAACGCCTCTGACTCCTTGGTCGAATTATGGATGGTACTTTAACAGGACAAATTCCACATAACCGGTTCGACCCACATAAGAAGTTAGGGTACATATATCCATGTCCCTAAATATGGGGGGGGGGGGCACTCATGCACCGCCCCAACCAATGTAATAGTCTAGGTGCCCTATCTGCCCGGCTCTCTAGCGTAGCTGGTTAAACCTGACTAGGTGACGAACTCCTTGTGGTCCGGGGGTAGGCAGAAGGCCACATTTCCCCCAAATTTACGGTATCTATCATGGAATCAAGGCCGTAGGGTTACGATATCCATAACAACTCACAGTTTGTGGATATTTTAAAAACAAAAGGTGCCCTATCTCCACATATGCATAGTTCTTTTGTATTTGCTATACATGTAATATTTCAAATGTTTTTACTTACCATTCGGCACATAATTAAAAGCATAATTTTGTTATTGTTTACTTTATGTTAAATCGCCCGGGTCCACCCAGTAAATGTTTAGACGAAAACACCCCCCCCCCTCCTAAATTTTGTACGTTGGACGCCCCTGCTTTGGTGTACAGAGCTGTAGTTGAGGAGCAGTGATTTCAATAAACAATCCCGTTTTTTTTCAGTCTTAACAAATCCAATGCTTTTTTTTAAAAACCCGTGAAATAGGGTCGACTCTGCAGATAACCAATCATTTACTGTCTCACATAATAAATGCTCCTTGTAAGTAAGAAAAACCAGAGATAAACAGTCACCTTTATCGAAAGCAAGGATAGCAGCACCGATACTGAAAGAGAGCCGCACTAAACATGACACCAGCTAATCATCGATATCTTGAAATCACGTTGATCGTGCCAGTAAGTTTTCGGAGACATTCAGCCTGTCCCACCCCTAAGTTGTATTTAAAGGTCAACACTTAGTTAACAGGAAACAACAAATGAATATGATGTGGACGACGTGGAGAAACTAATGTGGATTGA